TTAAAGAATGTGATGCTATTTCGCTTTAAATTTAAATGTGTTGATTATAATACACGTTCAGTCCCTTTGAAGAATGATTAGATTTTTCACTTTATGTCATTAATGATTTTTAGGCAAACCTGGGATTTGATACAGTGATAATGAAGTGTAAGCTGCTCATTTTTAAATTGGAGACTCAGTTGTTTAGTGTAGTTTGTTTACAAGTTTTGTTGTATGTATTTCTATGTAAGATTTATCTTTTAGTATTATTGGTTTGAAAAGAAAAAAAAAATCTGTATTTTTTTATTTCATTCTGTACAGCTTTAGTGCCTGGGATCTGCAGTTCTCTCGAACAATGATCTTTGCTATCAAGGAGATAAACAACAGCACAGAGCTTCTGCCAGACATCAAACTTGGATATCAGATCTATGATACTTGTGCCTCAGGGCTTTTAGCAGCACACGTGGCCTTTCAATTATCAAATGGTCAGGACCCTGTGTTTTACAAAGGCAGCAGTTGTTCACACATGGGGATGGTGACGGCTGTTGTTGGAGACTCTGGATCTACCCCATCCATCAGCATGGCACGCATCATTGGACCCTTCAACATTCCTCAAGTAGGTAATCACATTTAGTGTAAAATAAATTATATATCTGGATTGTTAGTGTTTAAATAATATTTGTTGATGCTAGAAAACAATGCAGTATTTTGCTTTTATTATTTTTAGGTGAGCCATTTTGCCACTTGTGCCTGCCTGTCAGATAAGCAGCAGTACCCAACATTTTTCAGAACAATTCCCAGTGATCAGTTCCAGGCTGATGCTCTGGCCAAGCTGGTAAAACACTATGGCTGGACTTGGATTGGTGCTGTTCGTTCAGACTCAGATTATGGAAATTATGGAATGGCATCTTTTCTTGATGCAGTGCAGAAAGAGGGTATCTGTGTGGAGTACTCTGAATCCTTCTTTCGAACTGACCCACGCAGCAAAATTCAAAAAGTAGCTGATGTTATCCGGAGGTGTTTACATCACTGATCTTTTTATGTTTTATGTTAAATTTTTAAAACTTGAAACAATTAAAATGAAAATCAGTAAGAAAAAAAATGTATATTTATTACTTTAATTCTTTTGATCTTCAAAACATTTAAATCAAATACCAATAATCAACAATTACACTTTGCTAGTCGTAAAAATGAGTGATTTATAATTTAAATGTGGTATAAATTAGTTAAGCTAATGAATTCCTTTATGTTGGCAGGTCAACAGCGCTGGTTGTTGTAGCTTTTGTTGCTGCAGGAGATATGAATGTCCTGTTACAAGAGCTGGCTCTGGAGCCTACAGCACCTCGACAGTGGATAGGAACTGAGGGCTGGATAACTGACCCACTCATGATGAGCTTTAGTTTCTGTGCAGGGGCCATCGGATTTGGCATTCAACGATCTGTCATTCCAGGACTGAAAGATTTCCTGCTGGATCTCTCTCCCACTGAAGTAGCTACCTCCTCAGTCCTGACTGAGTTCTGGGAGGATGCATTTAATTGCAGCCTGACAAAAAGTGAGAAGGTTTTATTTATCAGACACATTTGTGTTTATTTAAAACTTAATAAAATAACATGGACAAATACTGCATTCCTTAAAATATTGAAGTGCTACAGCTGTCGCTTTCACAGAGGAATCATATTTGTTTAATGTGTTGAGTGTTATGTAAAATTGTGAAGCTCTGAGTACATAGACGTACATTTATTACTGTGATTAATTTTTAACAGATCGAACAATCTTTGTATGTCTTCATGTGTCTCTAGATGCTGATCCAGAAAAGAAAGTCTGTGATGGAAATGAAAACTTAAAATCACTCAAAAGTCCGTACACTGAAACATCTCAACTAAGAGCTTCTAACATGGTGTACAAGGCTGTTTATGCAATAGCTCATGCTATTCACAATACATTGTGTCACAAAAGAAATCACACCACTCAGTGTGACAGAAATATCAGACTGGAGTCCAAACAGGTTATTTAAAAAGTATATTTTTTATATTTTCTCAGAACATTATGTATGTAACTGTGGCTAATTAGGCCCAAGCATCAAAGCGCTGCAAAGGCCTATTGTAATCTCTCTGTTCAGGCCCGAGTTGCGTTTTTTTTTTACAAATGAATTGGCCTTTTGGAGGCCTAAACATATCCCAAAACTCACCAAATTTGGAGGACGCATGAGGACTGGTGACAAATTATGGATTTTAAGGGCGTCAGAAAAATCACAACAGAAACGGCTCAAGAGCCCCACCTGGAAATTTTCAAAATACCCTCCATATTAACCTTAGTTTGTCATAGAAGCATGAAATTTGGGACACTTGTCCAATTCCTCAAGAATCACAGAAAACCCTCTGGCACCATTGTTGTATGATAAACAGGAAAGCGGACATTTTGGAATGCCGCCCCAAATTTCACACCTTTTGGAAGGTTTATATCCTCCACATTTGAACGAAAGCCTCCTAGGGATTTCACTCAATCGGTTTCAAACTTGGCCATTTTGTTCAAAAGGCATGGGGGACAAAAAGTTATCTAAACGGTTTGTTTCGGAGCTTGCTGAAGGGGCGGGCCAGACATGAAAGTTTGATATCTCGTCATGAAAAACGAAACACTAATAGCTCCTACATGAAAATTGTCTGAGACATCAAACCTTCAGTGATCCACCTCCAGCTCCCTGCAAGACTGAATGGTCAAATCATGACATCACTTAAGCCACGCCCCCTGACAACAGGAAGTGTAAAGTTTTACATTGAACTGTCCCTATCTGACCCCTGTTAAGTAATCAGCATGAGAGTGTGTCCAGTGACCCAAGACATGTTGGTGTAACTTGCTTAACAACACAGACAGTTTTGGGTGAAGCATGTGGGTGTCGCGACATGGCGAAATAAGATGTACAGTAATGCCGACACCATACGTTTGGCTCTAAATTCCACAGATTTGAACCGAGGTGCACCAAAATAAGTATGATCGATCATTATCCACCCCTTGAACAGGAATCCATGATAAGTTGCCAATAGCCTCCACAGCGCCCCCTAGAATATTTTAAAACCTCAGCCCCAAACCATTTTTGGACTGATAATTCTGAAACTCGGCGAACATTTTTAGTTTCTTAGGACCTATGAAAAAGTATCTTGGAGCCCTAGTCCAAAACCAACAGGAAGTCAGCCATTTTAGGTCAAAGGGTCATTTTTGGGCGTTTCTTAATGCAAATTTTAACGAACTCCTAGGGATTTTGAAGGATTGCCTTCAAACTTGGTTAACATGCCCTTAACACATTGGGGAGTAAATGTATCAAAAGCTTGCATTTTCGTGTATATTAAAGGGGCGTGGCCAGGCCTAAAAATTGTGCTTCATGCATAAATTTCCAAACGCTATAACTTTCACATTGAAAGACAGAAATGCACAAAAATTGGCATGAGTCATCCCTGTTAATGCCCGACGATCTTCTGGGGTCATATGCTGATGTCTTCAAACCCCCGCCCCCTCATAACAGGAAGTCACTTTTTTTAACTTGGAATGCTCCCTCTCTGACACCCTTGCCGTAATCAGGATGATCCTGTGTTAGAAGACATATAACAAGTTGATCTGACTTACTTTAAATCACAAACAATTTCGAAGGAGGATGTGGGCGTGGCCGCGTGACAAATTCAGAAGTGACGCCATTGCAATACGTTTGGCTATAAATTGCACAGATTTGAACCGAGGTGCACCAATATCGGTATGATCGATCTTTATCCACCCTTTGAACAGAAATCCATGATAAGTGGCCAATAACATCCACAACGCCCCCTACATTAATCCTACAGTTATATCTCAGTGAGACATAATCTGATCTGAACTAGATTTACTTTAATGTTATTATTGATATGCATCAATTTCTTCCTACATTTTTTTTTTCTTTTTAAAGGTTTTTACTGCACTACAAAAAGTCAACTTTACTCGCAATGGTTACCCTGTGTCATTTGATGCTAATGGGGATCCTGTGGCTTTTTATGAGCTAATCAACTGGCAAATGAGTGAGAGTGGAGTTATTGAGTTGATAACAGTAGGACATTATGATGCATCACTTCCAAAAGGACAGGAATTTCAGATTAAAAGGAAGATATCTTGGGTTGAAGGTCGCACACAAGTACAGTAATTGATTTCATGTCAACAAATTAAAATAGTTAGAGCATGGCAAATATTTTGTCACATCTACTTTGTAAAAACTAATAAAATGTAATTTGACTGTGCCTCTGTGACAGGTTCCATTGTCAGTGTGTTCAAAGAGTTGTCCTCAAGGAACACGTAAAGTTTTGCAAAAAGGAAAACCTAAATGTTGCTATGATTGTATACCATGTCCTGAAGGAGAAATCAGTAATACAACAGGTAACATTCCATTATTTTGTATTCATTTGAAGATCAGTTTTATTAATACCAAAAATCTTACTTTTTTTTTTTTTTTTTTTTGTAGACTCTCCAGATTGCTTTCCATGTACCAATGAATTCTGGCCTAATACAGAAAGAAATGCTTGTTTCCCCAAACCTGTACAGTTTCTGTCCTTTGATGAAGTCCTGTCAATCATCTTGGCTGCACTGTCTGTCGTTGGGGCCTGTCTGGCCATCACAACAGCAGTCATTTTCTTTCATCACAGAACAACTCCTATTGTCAAAGCCAACAACTCTGAGCTGAGCTTCATGTTGCTCTTCTCTCTGACTCTGTGTTTCTTATGTTCATTCACATTCATTGGAGCTCCCTCTGAGTGGTCCTGCATGCTGCGGCACACAGCTTTTGGAATCACTTTTGTTCTCTGTATCTCCTGTGTTCTTGGGAAAACTGTAGTGGTTTTAATTGCCTTCAAAGCTACACTTCCAGGTAGTAATGCAATGAAATGGTTTGGGCCTCCACAACAAAGATTGACCGTTGTGTTTTTCACATTTATTCAAGTTTTAATTTGTACAATTTGGTTGGTTCTCAGTCCTCCTTTTCCAATACAAAATCTGACAACATACAAGGAGAAGATCATCCTGGAATGTGCATTAGGCTCTGCTGTTGGCTTCTGGGTTGTACTTGGGTACATTGGACTGCTGGCTATTTTTTGCTTTGTGTTAGCTGTTCTAGCTCGAAAACTACCTGATAATTTTAATGAAGCCAAGATGATAACCTTCAGCATGCTGATATTCTGTGCAGTATGGATCACCTTCATCCCAGCGTATGTCAGCTCTCCTGGAAAGTTTACTGTGGCTGTGGAGATATTTGCTATTCTTGCCTCCAGTTTTGGACTGATACTGTGTATATTTGCTCCAAAGTGTTTCATCATATTGTTTCAGCCCAAGAAGAACACCAAGAAATACTTAATGAACAAAATTTAATAGTAAAAAATGAGAGATTTGGAAACAAAATCAAAAATTCAATGGCAATTGAAATATTGCTGCTAAGACTTTTTTTTCCAAATATTTTGTACCCCTTTCAATAAAGTAATCATAGATAGATATACATATTTTTTTTAACTGAAATCCATTAATGGCTTTACTATTTCTTTCTTTTTTTAATAGTATTTTTCCCTTTTGAAATTGATAAATAAAATCTTTAAGTTTTTTTTTTTTTCTAAAACATTCTGGGTTTATCTTTTTTTTTAAATACACATACATTTATGCTGTAAGACTGTACTGTGATGTGCTTGGGCAAGACTCATCAGATGAGTTAAAGAGATTAATATGGGACAGCTGTGTGCAATCAGTATAGGTGCATCACAGTGAATCAAGGTCTCTCAAACAAACTGGGGGTATAGCTTTTCAGTAGTTGTGGCCACACCCTATGGCGGGAGGGTGTCATTTGCAGTCATTGAGAGCTGCCAGCAACAAAGACAGTACAAAATGTGGTTAAGGGTTCTTATGTCAGGAGAGGATGCTGGGTTCCTCCTTTAGTCAAACAGTCTGGGCTTTACCTCGGTGCAGTCACCACCTTGCTCTCCTGCTTCTGTTCCTGTTGGCTGTTCTGAGCTGGTGTGGAGCCAATCCAGAAGGTCCAATTATCGTCCAGCTAAGTCAATCCCTGGGGTATTAGAAGACATCACAAGCTTAGAGCCTGGGGAAGGGTCTTGACAACTGTGCGAGCTAAGTCCACTCATTTTATCTTTAATGCAGGCCTTTATTTGTTAGCTTGGGGTGAGGTTCAGGTGGAAAGGCAAGTTTTATAGGAGTATGAGATGCGTAAATAAAAGTCTTAATGTTATTAACCTCATGGTATGTGTGGTGATCATTTGATGGCTCTGACATTCTAGGTAATATTTTCTCCCTGTGTAAACCGTAAATTTATTACTGTACTTATAAAGTCGGTCCTGAAAAGAAGAAAATGTTTTTTTTTTTTTTTTTTCTCCATTACTTTCAAAGTTAGGGTCTAACTCATCATCTTGTCCACTATGAACATACATACTTAACCTATGTAAAAACAGCTGATTGAAAGCATATCTGGTTATTCATGGATTTATTAAAACATCACACTGGTGAAAGACATGAAGTCCTGGGGCATGTGTAAGGAAAGCGCTGACCCATATCACTTTGATCAATATCCACTATTGAACAAAACTCAAGCAAATCATTTATCTTATGGTTGAATCCAGTCACAGCTGAAAGATCAACACTCTGTTTCCACCTATTAGACCTTGACACAAAGATAACGAGTAATCCACGCAAATGTCTCAGGACAAACTAGGATTTAGTCTGTACACTGACCCACTGTATAGAGGCCAGATCTCTGGTCTATCAATACATTAGCCAAAATAATACCCAGACAACCCTCCCTCATTATTTTATGCTCTCCTGCAGATAATTAAACGAAAAGGTCCTGGCAAAGACTTTTATGGACAGGATAAAACGAAGAACTCAGTGTCCCTTGCACAGACGTGGGTTACCGGGGCCCCACCCTGGAGCTAGGCTTGGGGGAGGGGCTCGTTGGTGAGTGTCTGGTGGCCGGGTCTTTACCCATGGGGCTGGGTTGGGCTCAGGCCGAAGGAGCAGCATGGGTTTGCCTTCACCACCACTTGCAGGATGGGCCATAAAAATCAGGTGCATGATGCCATGGACAGTGGCCAAAGGTGGGGACCTTGGTGGTCTGACCCTGGCTACCAAAGCTGGCTCTTGGGACATTGAATGTGACCTCTCTGGTTGGGAAGGAGCCTGAGCTTGTGCACAAGGTTGAGAGATACTGACTGGATATAGCTGGGCTCACCTCGACACACAGCATGGGTCCTATAACTGATATTCTTGAGGGGCTGGACCTTATTCCACTCTGGAATTGCCCATGGTGAGAGGCGTTGAGCTGGTGTGGGTCTATTTGTAGCCCCCTGACTTGGTGCCTGTGTGTTGGAGTTTTTCACAGTAGAAGAGAGTGTGTCTTCCCTTCGCTTACGGGTGGGAGGATGGATTCTGACTGTTTGTGCCTAATGGCAGTTCAGAGTATCCAGCCTTCTTGGAGTCCTTGGCAGGGATGCTGGAAGGTGTGCCAGCTGGGGACTCCTTTATTCTGCTGGGGGACTTCAATGCCCATGTCGGGAATGACAGTGTGATGTGGAGGGACGTGATCAGGAGGAACGGCCTTTCTGATCTGAACGCAAACTGTGTTCTGTTGTTAGACTTCTTTGCTAGTCATAGTTTGTCCATCACGAACACCATGATCAAGCATAAGTATGTCCATAAGTGCACTTGGCACTAGGAAGCCCTAGGTTTTAGATTGATGATTGACTTCATAGTCATGTCATCTGATTTGCAGCTGTTTGTTTTGGAACTTGGGTGAAGAAAGGAGCTGAGCTGTCAACTGATTACCACCAGGTATTGAGCTGGATCAGATGGTGGGTGGAATGCTGGACAGCTCCGATAGACCCAAACATGTAGTGAGGGTTTGCTTGGAACACCTGGCAAAAGAAACCATCAGAGAGATCTTCAACTCACACATCTGGGAGAGATTTAACCACATCCCAGCTGAGGTGGGGGACATTGGGACCAAGTGGGCCATGTTCCGCACCTCGCTTGTTGAGGTAACTGCCTTGAGCTGTGGCCGCAAGGTTGTCGGAGCTACTCGTGGTGGCCATCCACAAACTCAGTGGTGGACACCCCAGGTTAGTGAGGCTGTCGAGCTGAAGAAGGAGTCCTATCAGGCCTTATTGGCCAGTGGGACTCCAGAGACAGCTGAGATACCGGAGGGCCAAGCGGTCCATAGCCTTGGCTGTTGCTGAGGCAATAGCTTGGATGTTGGAGGAGTTTGGTGAGATCTTGGATAGAGACTCTCGGTCAGCTCAGATGAGATTCTGGCAAACCATTAGGTGTCTGAGGAGAGGAAAGTTGCACTTTACTAACTCTGTGTTCCGTGAAGGTGGGGTGCTGTTGACCTCAACCAGTGATGTTGTCAGGAGGTGGAATGAATACTTTTTGGACCTTCTCAATCCCACCAGCATGTCTTCCATCAAAGAAACTGTTTCAGAGGACTTTGGGTTGATTCGTCCATAACTGTGGCTGAGGTCGCCAAAGTAGTTAAAAAGCTCAGAGTTGGCAGGGCTCTGGGAGTGGATGAGATTCACCCCGATTTCCTTAAGGCCATTGATATTATGGGGCTATCTTAGTCGACACACTTTTGCAATATCACATGGACATCCACAGTAGTGTAACTGAATTGGCAGACTAGGTGGGGTGGTGGTTCCCCTCTTCAAAAAGAGGGATCAGATGGTGTGCTCCAATTATAGGGGTATCACTGTCCTTAGCCTCCTTGGTAAGGTTAATTCAGGGGTACTGGAGAAGTGAGTCCAATTGTTGTTTGAACCACAAATTCAGGAGGAACAATGTGGGTTCAGTCCTGGCCATGGGACACTGGATCAGCTCTTTACCATCACTAGGATCCTCAAGGGGTCATGGGAGTTTGCCCATCCAGTCTACATGTGTTTTGTGGACTTGAAGAAGGCATTCAACTGTGTTCCTCGAGGGACACTGTGAGGGGTGCTCCATGAGTATGGGATTGGGGCCCATTGTTACGGGCTGTTCAGTCCTAAACAAGTGGTGCGAGAGTTTGGTTTGCATTGCCGGTAGTAAGTCGGACCCCTTCAGTGTGGGAGTTGGACTCCACCAGGGCTGCCCGTTGTCACTGATTCTGTTCATAACTTTTATGGACAGAATTTCTCGGTGCAGCCAGCTGGAGGAGGATTTCCGGTTCTGTGGCCTCATGATTCCATCTCTGCTTTTTGTAGATGATGTGGTCCTTTTGGCATCATCATGCTGTGATCTTCAGCTCTCACCGGAACGGTTCACAGCTGAATGTGAAGTGAATGGGATGAGAATCAGCACTTCCAAATCTGAGGCCATGGTCTTGAACCAGAAAAGGGTGGATTAATTAGTCAAGTGGAGGAGTTCAAGTATCTCAGGGTTTTGGTCATGATCGAGGAAAGAATGGAGCTTGAGATTGACAGATAGACTGATGCAGCATCTGCAGTATTGTGTACTTTGTACTGGTCCGTTGTGGTGAAGAGAAGGCTGAACTGTAAGACATGGCTCTCTGTTTACCGGTCGGTCTACGTTTCTACTCTCACCTATGGTCACAAGCTCTGGGTAGTGACCGAAAAAATGAGATTGCAGATACAGGCAGTTGAAATGAGTTTATGAGTTTCCTCTGCAGGGTAGCTGGCCTCTCCCTTAGAGATAGGGTGAGAAGTTCAGTTATCTGGGAGAGACTCAGAGTAGAACCGCTACTCCTCCATGTCGAGATAAGCCAGTTGAGGTAGTTGGGGCATCTGGTAAGGATGCCCCCTGGGCGCCTCCCTAGGGAGGTGCTTTGGGCGTGTCCGACTGGGAGGATACCCTGGGGAAGACCCAGGACACGTTGGAGAGACTGTCTCTCGGTGGCCTGGGAACACCTTGGGGTCCTCCCAGAAGAGCTGGAAGAGGTGGCTGTGGAAAGTGATGTCTGTGCCTCCCGTTGCTACCCCTGCAACATGACCCTGGTGAATGGATGGATGGATGGATGAAGACTTTTTTAAAAATTGGACACCCAGATAATATGCATATGCAATAGTCCATCGTAAACAGGATAATTGCATGGACCAGTTTTTCTGCATAATTTTTGGACAAGATGTTTCTAAAATTAGTGATATTACACAGCTACTCCTCCAGCTTGACATGTTGTTCTAGAAACATGACAATTTAGACAATTACAAGGAGTGGATTCATTTATACTAACAAAAATGTCTTGTTGTAGTCAGGTTTGTGTCAGACAGAATAAATTGATAGAATGATCCAACAAAGTTAAATCAGGTCCTCTGGACAGTTTCTTTATGTTGAAACATTACATCTTTAATCCAAAAGCCTTGAGGAGCCACAACCAA